AGATGAGGGTAGCAACGTAGACCAACCGGTAAATCATTTCACCACGACAGATCGGTACAGCCCCTGCATCACTGCAGATGTAGCACCAATCCGCCTGTCCATCTCCCGCTCCATTCTTCCCTCATTCGTGAACAAGACCCCGAGATACTTAAACTCCTCCACTTGGGGCAGGACCTCCTCCCCGACCCGGAGGTGGCACCCTACCCTTTTTCCAGCTCAAAACCATATCCTCAGATTTGGAGGCACTGATCCTAATCCCGGCTGCTTCACACTCGGTCATAAAATCATATTAAAATTCCAGTGTAGTAGTGTAAAATCCTTGAGACTTGTTCAATCATGAATTTTTTTTGTTTTAACGTACGTTTGAATATTGTGCAACAAACCACAAACAAGGCATTGCATAACAATCCTGATGGAAACACATTTTATTGTAAAATTTACATGTTTTTATTTCAATGCTGCACAAMAAAATACAGGAAATCAGTTTTGAACAGGTGCTTCAGCACTGGCAGCCATGCTGGTTGGTGCCTCTGCAGGATGTTTCTGAATGAATGTTAAACTGAAGACTGAATGAAGAGACGAGCTGCATTAAACAGAATCAGGAGAAAGTGTTCTCATTAGTCTTTAATGCACCAGGATTATATTTTCAGCATTAAATGAGCAGCAGATTGAGAGAGTGATTCAGTGCAGGCTGCTCAATGAATACAGAGACTAAAACCTGTCTTCAGCTTCATTTATAGATGATTTTTTTTTGATTGGTAGAAATTCCTAAATGTGTGCTTGTTGTGTGCCAACRTGCTTTTCACATAAACAACCTCAGCCAAAATGATTGACCTGAACTACACCACAGCTTTTAGTTCACATGCCTTCTTAAATCCTTACATTTGGAAAGTTTCCATTGTGTTTTTTTTTTGTTTTTTTTTTATCGTTTTTGCTGTTTCAGCTCTGGATTTTCTGTTGGTCAATCTTCTGATGAGTGATGGAGCAGAATTTTCACACAGCTGCGTTTTTCAGGATTTCCACACTAAAAGGCTTTGTTTTAACACCCGGCTGTTGCCCATGTTTGTAGTTTTCTTGTTTTCTGATTCATTCTGTGTGAATTTTGATTCTTACACAATACACTTCATCTCTGAAGCTTTGAAGATCACAAACATCCCACACAGACTTTCATTTTTGTCCTTTGAGCTCAGACCTCTCCAGATTATTCAAATCTTTTAAAGACATTATGACTGATTGATGTCTTCCTAATTTTTAATTGAGGAACCTTATTCTGAAATGGTTCCTCTAATGTTAGTTGTTGTTGTTTTTCACAAACTATTGAACTTCTGCCCAAATTTACTCCCGAGAGATTTGGCCTCTCTAAAATACTTTTAATACCCAGAGTTCTCTTTCTGACCTGTTGCCAATTAAGCTAATTAGTTGCAACAGGCTCCTCCAGCTGTTTTTTATTTGTACCACTTTTACAACCTTTTTGTCAACTTTTACACAACATGTTGCTGCTATAGCAAAATGATCTATTTTACAGAACTTTTTGTGTTTAAACTTTTATGTTTACTGTGTTAAATTTTGTGCAAAATGTATGAGATTTACTTTCTTGAATTGCATAACTTAAAGGAATTGTTTCAGCTGTCCCAAAAAAAATCCTTTGCATGTTTGTGAAATATATGGGTGAAAGCAAAGTGGGGAAATCATTTTTTTAACAGCCTGCATGGTTCTGGGCCAGATCAGTGCTCAAACATTTTATTACATAACGTGGGCACTGTGAACTCAAATTCTTTGCTGTGTTTCATCTCATTATTCTTTGTCCTCTCTGCTGAAAGGACTCTCATAAAAAGTTTTTTTTTTTTTTTTTTTCTGTTCTCTGTAATTCCCCCATGTTCTTAGAAAACTTTGGTCCAGAGAAAATCAGGACTTTGGACCCAGAATTGACTTGAAAATATGTTGTTTAGCATCAGAATAATACACTCATATTTACAGCTTCTGCTCCAATAACACGCAAACATTGGTAAACATTCTTCTGTCTATGAGTTGAACTGGGAGCTTTAAAAAAAGGAAGGACACTGACACCTGGTGGCAGAGCAGTGTAATTACAGCTTGGTGCATGTTAATCTACAAGAGTGACCAGGCTTATCTTTGCTGCTCTCTGCTGGTCAGACTCTCACTGTAAATATTCTAAACTTCTTTTTTTTTTTTTTTTGTTTCTGCTAAAAGAAATAAGCAGAATCTGTGATGAGTCATACTTTTATTTATAATTTATAACAGCACCAAAAGAATGACCAAAAGGGATTCACATGTGAAATGAAATCAAAACAAGCCTGAAAGAGAAAGTGACTATTGGTGACCAGAAATGTGCCATTTCCTCTAAACTGTCCAGAGGATTAGTGCTGCAGCCTCACTCGTGTTAATCTCTGGCACACGCACGGCAGGAGTCTTAACAAAACCCACATTAGCACACAACATACACACACACACACACACACACACACACAC